ATTGGCTGGTAGACGGAACCCGGAGGAGGCCGACCCTGTGCGATCTAACGGGTCTGTGGGAGGTAATTGGCAGCAGGCTGACTTTATAAACCACTTAAAGAGGACTGCAAAGTGGTATATATAAATCTAAGTGGTATTGCTAATACAAGCCGCACTGTTTAGCATGGGCTTGGAGTAAGTCTAAATAGAGGCATGATCTCACCTGAGAGCCAACTACCACGATTTGGGGCAGTTGTATGATTTCGGCTCCCACCGTGTTGAAAATCTCCTGCAGCTTATTGATCACAGGGATGAGAGTCTCCATAACGACGACGGCCGCAGCTCATGCAAAGGGGGCCTCTTATTCCCTGGAAAGTAAAGAGGACGGTTAGCCAGAAGGCAAAGGGGAAGCCCCCTGCCAACATGGAGCCTTGTTTTCTCCCCTCCCCTCCAAAGAGCACGCCGACCCACTTCTCCGAGTAAAGGCCTGAGCCGTTTCCCCGATAATTCAGCCCCAATAACGGAACCGAGCATCCGATAACTCACCTCCGGGCTATTAACTCCGAATCCGGATGCAGCTTCATTCACGCCGCAATCAGGAAACATTCCCCGATTTCCCCGCCTCCTTCCCGAGCTGTGTTGCTCCAGGTCTCCGACCTCCTGGATTTCTATAGGTTTTTCCGTCTGTCCATCAAGTCAGCCTTCAGCTCTATTGGAGAATAAACATTTTTTTTCTTCCCCCAGGGCGAGGTTTATATTTTCATTGGCCAAATCGGGAGCAAATCATGCTCCCCCGTCTTGAAAGCTTTTCAAATACACGACCATAGAGAGAAAGTTGCAAGAGATAGAAAGGTCTTAGCAACCGAAACCATAGCAACAGCCAAGATTCCTTTTTTTTTTGGTAAGATGGCGACTAGCGAAAAAAACCTTCTCGGAACGGCCGTTAAACTGATGGCGGCTTCCAGCAGCCTCTGTTTTGTTCGTCGCCCCCCTTGTATTTTTTAAATTAAAACACTGAAAAATGATTGTTTTTATTTGATTACCTTCTTTTTTTAATAAAGATTTTTATTAACAAACATGTAAAATACACACACACACAAATTAGACGTGCACCACATTTATACAATACAGTGCGAACAGGAACTTCCTGTTCGTTATAATAGCAATCATCAATCGATACCTCTCACCTTATATTATT